GGCCGAGGAAGCAAATAACTATGACAACTTGAAAGTAGCCTTGTTGAAGAGATATATGCTGACCGAAGAAGGATTTCGTATTAAGTTCAGAAACTGTAAACCTGACAGTGGGGAAACGGTGTTTCAATTTGTTGCTAGGATGAAGAGATATTATCAAAGATGGAAAGAACTCTCAGAAGTTGAAGATACAGTAGAAAGCCTCAATGACCTCATCATACGAGAGCAATTCATGTCGACATGCTCCAATGAACTGTCAGTGTTCTTAAAAGAAAGGAAGCCAAGGACTGTTGATGAGATGACCAGGTTAGCAGAGCAATACCTTGAGGCACACAGTGGGTCCCCAGTCAAGGGGAGGAATAATTTCAGAGTTGAAGCCATTAAGGGATCAGATAATGTGGGTGCAGATTACCTCAGTAGGTTGTGTTAAATATGATGTTTGTGCTAGATGTTATATAAAGTTTCACATTTGTAAGTGAAGAAGTGGTCAAGTTGTTTCAAGAGTTCCATTGTAGTTATTAAGTTTATTATAGAGTAAGAGTTCATGTTACACTAAAGTAGTTAAGTAGTTAAGCTGTTTACTGTTATTATATATATAGTTAAGATTCTTTTAAGGTGTTACACAGTTCAGGGGTTGTCGTCAGACTAATTAATTTATTTGGTTGTGTAGATGAACATGTTGACGTTTTATATAGAGTTGTAAAAGGGTTATTACCGTGTTTGTAACCTTAACCATTTATTAATTGAAAAACAGTAAATGTTTTTCTTAGTAGGGGGTAGTTGTCAGAGAATTAAGCTCTCCTGGGTTGGGAGATCACAAAAAGGGGGAGAAGAAAAATCGGGGCCATGCGGCATGGCTGTTTCGGATGATTGTGGAGGAGTTTTAGGCGCTGTTGTCTTTCCTGGCAGTATTGTTCAATGACACCACTTTGCTTTAGGACCCTTTATGCACTTATTTGTTATCATAATGAAGTGCATTGTAATTCAGACCTAGGACCGGGACAGTTCAAGGACGTATCGGGGAAACACGATTACGCAAGGATAAAAGATTTACCTCTGAAATACCGAAAGTTACTAGTTCACAACATGCACCTGTGACAGTAGGTTTACATGAGATGTAGTACTGTATGAATATAGAATAAATAATTTTGGAAGCGTTCTAAGCGCTGTTGTTTTTCCTGACACTATGGCATGGAGTGTTCATGGGAGATGAATGCACTGTGATGCCAACCCGCAGCACCGCATATAGCTTTTTTTTTTTTTTTTTTTTTTTTTTTTTTTACATAGCACCCTGAAAAAATCAGTTCATAATCAAAACATACATCATTCCCCTAAAAAGTCTACACTTGTTCTTGGCCCAAATGCACGTGTCTAAAGTATAGCATTACATCGGAATATTTATTCACATTCCTCACTTTCAATTGTTCAAGTTCCTGTAAGAATAAAATAAAATTTGAAAGAAAGGAGCTTCTGCATCTACACGCATTAAACTGAAATTCGCCGATACTTTACCATTACTATGGTTGCTGGCATGCAGTAACCAGTTAAGCCTATCCCCACTACGTTTTGGACGCACGGTTTCTAGGTACCTTGCAACCGGCTAGGACGTAGCTAGATCGCACGTAGTGGCTGTTGATCATGTCGAAAAGTTACTACGTGCTGTTTGCGTCCTCCAAAAATTGCACGATGGACGTGCTCCTCACGCACGAACTCCAACATTTTCCCCATTTTTTGGGCCGTAGACCACACGTAGCAGCCCGTACGTTCGGTTGGGACCTAGGCTTTAGCGTGTTGTTCACGCGCTACACTGGTGTTTCGGTCTGTTGCCCACGCACTCTGAAGCTATCAACCAAGTTCACCCCTTATCCTCTGATTTCAGAAGCTTCTAAATATAGTATACACATTTTTAGTATGCCATGCAATAAGTTTGTAACAGACTACTAGCGCACCCTGTGGTCAGAGAGTAGTTCACGCTCTAGCTAAAGAGATGCGCATGCAGGCAAATGTGCACGCAGCTTGCCATTTCAAGCAGTCGCATTTTCTTTCAAGGCACCCAGGTTTTGGAAAACAAATGCAAAGACATGTTTTTGACGTTTAGAGTCTGCTCTTGAAACACGCCATACGCGAATTGCGAATGATTTGACAAAATATTAACGCTTGTCCTTACATGATTCCGATACATCCAAATATATTGATGGCTGTTAAGGCGAAGGGAATATGATTGAAAACAGTATAATAGTTTTCATCTAATAACCCACTTCACTGACTGTTTTATCACTGTTGCAGTGAAGTTATGCCTTTTTTTAAGGGGGGATCCTGACCTCCCCCCCCCTTCCCGACCCCCCCCCCCCCCCCCTCTAAATCCGATCCAGCTTTCTAAGGTCGAATGAATGTACTGTCACAGAAAAGACAGCGTTTTCATTCAATCTTACGGTACAGTTTTAAAGGAAAACGTTAAGTTTTACACGTTTACTGAATTGTCTTGTATATTGTAAACATTCATAGGTAATTTTCCCAAACAGAATTAATATTTTAACTATGTAGAAATAAAACAGAAATATAAAAAACTGAGCGAAATAATTAAAAAGAATTGGTCTATATTTGTATTACATAAAGTTTCTCTTGATTTGAAAATTCTGAAGGAAAATGTTGGCACGTTGTTTCATTAAATCACTTTTAATGACCGGTAATTGGATATAACTTACTAAACGAAAGTCGTAAATAAAATTTACAACATGTGAAAAAATGAGTTCAACTTATTATAAATTACCTAAGATATTTTATCTTAGACAACGATCTGTGGTCGACAGCGCCGGACAGTGAGAAACTGTAATATCCAGCACAGCTTCTACGGTGAAGGCTTCTTGTGCGCCGTAGACATCGATGGCCAGTCGTCTTGGTCTCAGGACACGGCGAGAAGAGACCTTACGTAATATTCAACACAGCCACTGTAACTAGATAGTTGCGACAGTTGTGATTGCGATATAGTAGTGTAAGTGTAAAATGTAAAGAATATATAACGAAAGTAGCACTTACCTAAGTGCATTTAGTACATTTAGTGCATGATATCCCTTGCGGCAAACATATAAATTTTCCTCTCTGTGTGGTGCATTTGGGAAGCTGTCAATGAGGTGAAAGCCACCCTTCACGGCTCTAACCTCGACTGGAGTTGACGGGAATCTGATGCTGAGAGCAGGGTCTCTGCTCTCCAAGATGGCTCCCACCACATTGTGAACTGAACGCGACACAGAGGCTGCGGAGATCCCAAGGCTGTCTCCAATCACAGCCTGAAAGCTCCCCGTCGCAAGCACGCCAAGACAGGCAAGAACTTGTGTGGTGGGGGAGAGTGCTTGGGACCTTGCTGTTCTACGCTGCAGCTGGCCTTCGATCTTCTCCGTCAGCAGTCTGATGCCCCTCTTGGACAGCCTGTACCTCCTCAGTACTCCTCTCTCTGTCTGCTCTTCTAAGACGTCTCGTCGCGGCATGTAAATTCGCCTACTTTCGTTTCGAACGACAAGAAAAGCTGCAGCCATTGCGCATGCGCAAAGACTTAGCGACTGGGTTGGAGCTGTACCAAATATCTTGCGCAAATAGCGCATGATTTTGAACAAAATTACAATGCAAAACGTTCTTGCAAGTGTCTGTTCTCAAAAAGGGACTTTGCGCAATTGCGCAAATTGCGAAACGTTTTGCGAAAGCCGGCCCTGGTTCGTTTTTGAAAAACGAAACTGGAATCTTGACACTAATTTCAGCCCCTACTTATCACCTGGTGTAAAGGAGGCGCAACTAACGCTTTGGATGTGAAAGCTACTGATACTGGAAAATACCTATGGAACCCCCAAATCAAGAAAGAGGGGGGTCTACGCGGGTTTCTGGGTTTCATGGCTTAAATAATACTATGGGATCCAGGCACATCGCTCGAAAAGATTTATACAGTAGACAAATATAATTTACAGAAATGTGTGGGTTTTGTTACTCTTTTTCATCAGTACACCACTGAAATATGTACAAAATTGCATTGCTTTTTCACGCTGCTCTTTTTTTTTTTTAACAGACTTCTTACGCACCCTGTGGGCAGTGAGTAGGGTTTTGTATCGTTTTGTTTGCAGGATTGTTTATTGAATTTGCATCAATTTATTACTTTGTTCTTCTTTTTCTCTACTGTTCTTTACCAAATTTGATAATGAGACTAAGTATTGTTTTGATTGGGCTTGTTTCAACATGGTATTAAAACAGATTTACACTAACATAATCTAACATAATGAGTGCAAAAAAAGGGGGGAGCGTTTAAAATGTCTGATTTTATAAAAGCACTAAAAGAAATAAAAATAATAGTTTTATGAAATTCATGCACATGTTCTTAAATTAATAGCCCTAATATTTATCATTTTATTACTCGAAGCTGTGTCGAGTGTTGACCAGTGTTATAAGAATTTTCAACGAAGATGAAACATTTTCATGACTAACTTAATATAGCATTGATAAAATCTTTTTAAAAAAAATCGAGTGTTTTTATAACAACTAGGACGTTGCATCCTTTAACTCATAGCTTCCATAAAAAACAAATCCGCAGACAAAAATGAATGTTTTATTGACAACAAATGACAAATTCTTATGGCCATTACTTCATAATATACGAACATATTTTATATATCATGTCAAATTATATAATATCATATTAAACAAAAATACATTGTAAGGGGTACATTAATATATACCAGCACATATTATCACGTACATTAACAGCATTGATAACATGCAGTTTTCTCATGATTCTGTCGACCACAGAGCTACATGTATGAACAGATATGTTTTTAAAAATTTGTATTTCATAAATATTCATATAAATATATGCATATTATTTCATTACGATATTCACCAGGTTATAATGTTACTACACGTGTAACCATCATCCCGCCCCTTCTTGGTACAAGGTATCTTAATATTTTAAAATATCAGCTTCTGGGGCCGTATTTCAACTTGGACCCATCTTAATGTTCATCTCATAGTTCACAATACAATTACTCAACTGAACAAAGGGAATCAGCTGTTGAATAATACCTGGTAAATAGAATATCTGGAATATTTGCAAATACGTTAGGTCTATGCTTAAACCTTAAATTTCATTTTTTAAAATTGCTATTGATAAATGGAACTGTTTTTAATTGAAAACACAGCAAATGCCACCATTCAACCTTAAAATTTGATAAGAACACTGACGCATAAAACAACGCACACAGACAGATTCAGGATAACAGCAGGAGGAGACCCATAATGTCACCACTAAAATGAGGACTTTGTTTTAAAAATTTATGGACACTTTGGTCTAGGTCAGATTGAGTCTGCCATTTTTTGGGGAGAGATGGGCATGGTCTCACAGGTCACTATTCTGTATATACTTACGACATAGATAATTAAAACATCAAAACCTGGTAGTTCAAAAATTCCATTTTCATTTTCATTTTCATTTGATTAAGCGATTCCGTTAATTCTATTAATTTTGTTAAAAAAAGTCGTCAGCCAAGTTAATGAAACGTCAAGCACATATATCTTCCACATATACATGTATGTGTACGATATCTTATGATAATATGTTTTGGTAGTTGTATATTTGTAAAATACATGTATTTTAATCAATTTTAGCTTCCACTCTAACATTTGAAATTGTGCACTTAAGATCTGTTCTAATGTACGAGAACTAAGCTGTTGCTACTTAATCTAGATCTATATTTTAATATATTTTATATTTTATATTATATTTTAATATATTTTATATATATTTTAAAACAACACACTTCATATCCTTCCAACCACAAGAAAAGAAAGAAAAAATCATCGTTCTTGTGCCGATTAAATTACCGGTTAGTTTTTATGTAATTAGGTGAAGTAAATCTTCGCCACATAGTTGAGGATTTATGTGAGTTTTGAATCAATTTCCGAGAAATCACAGTGGTATTTAAAAGTTAGAAAAAAAGCAGGAAAATCAGAACGCTTGTAATAAGTCTGGAAATTAAGCCCCAATAAGTCTTGAGGAGATACATGTTTCGCATGATATAGATATAGGCTAGGGTGCACCACAAGATTGAACTGTAAAGTCCCGACAAGTCTCGGAAAGATATCTCATAATATACACATTACATGTGGGCCTACATATAGACATCGGATGCACAACGGCATTGAACTGGAAGTCTACGTCATGTTTTGGAGAGGTATTATTTGAACTGGTTTGGACTGGTATCTCTGTTTGGTAGAAAAATTGATAAGGATATTGTCTGGTTTCTCAGCTTGTCTCTGTGTCACGGTATGACGAAACAGAGTTTGCGTAACAGAGAGTCCACCCTCCATTGGATTCATGCAAGTAAGGCTTAGTATGACGTAATTACACGGATAAAATCCTACGGCGGGGCTTACCTAAGCACAAATCAATGCGGCCTTCATCACATGGGACTACCTAGTACGAAACATTGATAATAAAAAACACTTATAAAAATTGTCATCAATAATCTCGTCCCCACTCATTTTCATGGTTATCGTGCATCCTCAAAAGAGAACATAGCATTATAAAACCATGTATCAAAAATTGGAAACCTAATTAAAATTTGTAATTAAGCTTGAAATCCGAACCAATAACACTTAATAATCGACCTGCTTGGTCAAATTTGCCTTTAACTATCAATTCAGTGACAATATATTTTCTCATATTCATCAGAACTTTTTGTAATATCTTCAATTTTACCAAATAGATATTCAAATCCAGAAATTTAATTTTAAAATGGTTGGGTGGGAAATGCTCTTCATAGAATTCACGAGCTTTCTCAAAACACGTAAGTGTGCGAATGTCGGTAACCTTTCCAAGAAGTAGTGCAGTGCCAACATTCGAGTATGCCCCAGCAGTGTCATGATGTTTCTCACCAAATACTTCTTTACTAGCGTTAAGAGCTTCTTCAGCATATTCAAGTGCCTCTGTGTAATTATCCATGGCGATCAATGCACAGGCCATGTTGTGGTATATGAGGATGGTATCAGGGTGTTTCTTGCCAAGTAAGTCTAACCTTACTCCAAGAGATTTCTTATAGTATACAAGAGCCTTTGCTGGCTCACCTATCTCACTAAGTGCAAAACCTTTATTGCTGTATTCACTGGCGGTGTCAAGGTGTTTGAAACCAAGGACTTTTTCCCGAACTTTAAGACATTTATCATAGCATGCAAGTGCTTCTCTATACTTACCCATGTGTGCAAGCGTCAAACCCATGCTGCTATAAGTATCAGCAGTATCCGGATGATCGGAGCCAAGGACTTCCTCCCTGCACTCAAGACATTTGTGTAAATATCCTAATGCTTCTTCATAACTACCCATGGAACTCATTAAGTTGCCGATACTGTAATATATAGCAGCTGTTTCAGGATGCTTCGGGCCCATGAGCTCTGTCATAATGTCAAGGCTTTCACTGTAACATTTGTTTGCCTCGTTTTCCTTACCAATGCTCGTTAGTATATCACCTATGTTTGTACTTGCTCTTTACAGTCGCAATGTGCTTTGAGCTAAATACTTCTTTTAAAATTGCATGAGATTTCTCAAAATATGGTAATGCTTCTGTTTTCTCATCCATCTTAATGTGCTACCAATATTGTTGTATGCTTTGGCAGTTACAGGATGTTTGTGGCCAAGAACTTTTTCAAATACTGCAAGGCATTTCTTGTGATAATCGAGTGCTTCTCTATACATCCCCATTTCTTTATAAGCATTGCCCATATTGGTGTAAGCCGAAGCAGTATGAACGTTATCGGAACCAAGAGATCCCTCCAAGATATCAATACTTTTCTGATGGAATGTAATTGCTTCTTTGTACCTACCCATTTCTTTCAGCAACATGCCAAGTGCGTCATATTTGAGGGCGGTATTAGGATGTTGGGGACCAAACACTTTCTCAAAGACCTCAATACTTTTTTTTCGATAGGCAAGTGCTTCTTCATACTTACCCATGAACCCCAGTGTGCGTGCAATTGTGTTATATGTAGAGGCAATATCAGGATGGTCGGACCGAAGGTTTTCTTCCTGAACTTTGAGACATTTTTTCAAATATGAAAATGACTTTTCATACTCACCCATTTCCATCAGGGCAATGCCTATTCTGCTGTAAGCTAGAGCCATCTCGAGTTGTGTGCATCTTTGAAACTTTAGTATGATATCAACACTTCTTTGATAATATTTGCAGGCATCTTTATATATACCCATCCCAAAAAGTGTATCGCCAATGGGCATATACACGATTGCACCAAATGGTCGCAATGCACCTTCTTGCACCAACGTTTCTAACGGTTTAAGCATAGTTAAGGCTTCAGAATATAGGAATAGATTAAGTAATACATGGGCAATGCACGACAAATTTTTGAGTGTAATTTTTTTGTCGGGTGGTTTGCTATTTCTGAGTTGATCTGACAGCAAATCAGCAATAACCTTAAGATGTGGCAGAATTTTTCGTGCTGTTTCATACGTTTCCTTAGAAGGAAAGGTATCAAACTCGGATAGAAGCAGAGGAGTTTGTTCCATGTAATGTTCGCAATATGCATCTTGAATACGAGACATTTCGTTTTGATCTTTCCGTGCTTGAAACTCTGCATAAGCTCTTAAGAGGGGATGGAGATCATAGACATATGGGTCTGCACTCAGAATGGATTTGTTGGAAAGACTGTCAAGGATGGTTTCACATTCATCCTCTTCTATTTCCAAAATTTCTGAAACTTCTTCCAAAGAAAATGAAACTGGGAAAATATGCAAAGCCCGGAACAATTTTTGTTCTTCAGTATTCAGCGTTTCGTAAGACATATCTAGGCATGTCATCATTTCTTGAGAATGTGGAAGATTTGGTACCTTAAAGCTTTCAATGACATTTTTAGTTTTCATCCTATCCAATACTTTTTGTGCAGTTTTTTTCTTGAGTTGCACTGATAATAATTTCAGTGCAAGGGGATTTCCCCCACATTTTTCTGCAATTTCACCTAACAATATTGACTCACTATCGGTTGGACTAGTGGTTTTTCCTGCCCAAAGGATATCAATCGAGGGGTCCTTATCAAGGGGAGGTACTTCTACGACAGCATTATTATGCGACATGGCACTAAAAGCTTCGCGACAAGTACATAATAAAGTGATATGCTTTGTTGAATTCAAAATATCTTGCACCAAGTTGTGAAATTTTTGTAAATCTGACTTAATGACCTCATCATTGTTATCAAAAATTATTACGGTGTCTGTAGTCAAACTGGACAAAGTTTGAATGAATTTGTTTTGATAATCACTGTAGACATCTTTCAGGGATGTGGTTGGATGATAATGCTGGGCTAGAGATGATTTAACAGATTCAAGTTGGGTAACTTGTCTCATATCAATATACAGTACATTTTGCTCTCGATGCCCAGCTTCGATGGCTAGTGATGTCTTCCCTATACCCCCCATTCCAGTTAAAAGAACAAGTCTGGTTTCACCTGCAATGTGCTGCTGTATTTGTTGTACCAGTTCTTCTCGTCCTTTAAGGTCCGCAAGTTTTCCTGGTAATTGTACTGAGAGAAGCTTACATGGAGCAACTGGAAAATCAAACAATAGGAACACTTTTTTTAAAAAAATGCCCATCATGGCAATATATCTATATCTACATTAAGTTTTATAATTGACGGAATATTACACAATGAAATTATTTGAATAATGAATTTTAATAAATCCATATTATATTGTTCCTATGCCAAATATTTATGGTTCTGTTCTTTCTAGCTTTGAAATTTCAATGCTTTTACATCACAGTTATATAGTTACAATCTACTGTTTTGCGACATAATGCAAGAAAATCTGTACTGTTTGGCAATAATGTGACCACAACTAATATAAAGGATGAATATGTTGTTCGATTCTGACTGTATATAAATAACATATACGATTCAGTAAGCTTTTCACTACAAACACATGTACTTCATTATGCCTCTATTTCACACAGACCACGAATCCCACGAATCGCCAGGAATTGACACATTTCAGGATTCGTGGTTGAATCGTAATCAGTTCGTGAAGTTCTTAACAGATTCGTATATATTCGTAGTCAATTCTTGCAATTCTTGATCAATCACGAACCTGGCTACGGGCCTGAACATGCATTACTATGTATCTTTAAATAAAGTTTATTATGCTTTACTATCTTTAAATGAAGTTTTTATTATTATTATTATTATTATTATTATTATTATTATTATTATTATAGCAACATTACGAGCGTGGCTGTAAGCAAACGGTATTTTTTACTATTTAGAGCGGACTATATTATTGACCTACCCTGTACCTGTCGGGTCAATATAAACTCAAACCATCGGTGTTAAGTTTAAGACTTAAAGGGATAACAACTCTTCGTATGAGATCAACATTTCACATTAAACACATTGTAAACAACTGATATAAATATAATATATTCAACTTTACCACAAATACGGCAGTTATTTTGATATCTGTGCTTGTCATCTGACCACGTGACCTCCATAGATGCTCTGTTATAATCTTTTAAGAGATTATGATTAAAAAACAAACTTTAAAAACACAGGGACTAACTTTGAAAGTAGAAATGAATTCATTAACCGTTAGTAAGTGTGGGAAATCGTCGTTTACCCCAGGGAAATTAATCTTTTGGACGAAATGAACAGTTGTTATCCTTTTTGTAAGCCATCACGCCTAGCTGGGAGGGGGTCTTGAATACGACCTTTCTTGTAAAAGAAAGGTCTTGAATACGACCTTTCTTGTAAAAGATTATTGTTTTCTTAAAAGGAGGCGCATGTTTGTATATGTAATTATTCCCAAATAAAAGATGTAAGAGGCTGATGTGTCGCAGTCGTCAGGTATACAGTGCATACAATGTAATGGCGCCGTAGGAAGGAATCGATTATATTAGGTGAAATGGAAGAGAAAGTCAATATATTTACTTATACCCCATTGATGTAACTTTTTCGCCAGTTGTATATTTAACTTTAATAAATGAACACACTCAAACTGTAACTATCATAATCATACACCTTATCAGTGTAAATATTAACACTTACCAGTTAAGATAACAGGCTTTCATGAAAAAAGTGAACATTTACACGTACCGTCTCCTCCCTCTACGTCTCAACGGGTCTTGTTAAAAACCAGTAGTCACGTGACACATTACACATGTTTTTAAATAGGACCAGACATCAAGGAGGTCAACAGCCGGGTACTTTTTTGGGTCCGAACGCATTTACAACCTTTACTGTACACATGTACATGCCCATAGCCAGGGGGTTCGAAACATCCCCCTATTTGCTTGGAAAAGGTCCACTTTGGGTAAATTTGATCTAGGTAAACTGTAGGTTTCATGATAAAAGGTACACATTTTTTTTTTTTTTAAAGACCCCCCCCCCCCCCCCTTTTTTTTGCAATTGCTAGCCACGGTCCTGCATGTAGCTGTGAATCTAACTAAGCATTCGGGTGTTGCAGTAGAGGCTGTCCGGGTTCTCAACGAGAAGACCAAGTTTCCCCGTGATTTTACGAGATCTGCCTTGAGGTGGGGTTAAAATATGGAGTCCACAAGGAAGTAGAGCAG